CACCACCAAAATTCCTTAATCCTTCTTCTGTGCCCATCAGGGGTACAGCCCTGCCCACATGAACAGGTATGTGATGGGGGATCCAGCTTGGTGCCAGCAAACCCCATGGGCAGCTTTGTTAATCCTTTCCCTGCCCACATGAACAGGTATGTGATGGGGGATCCACCCTGGCACCACCAAAACCCCATGGGCAGCCTCATTAATCCCTGTCCTACCCATATGAACAGGTATGTGATGGGTTAGTACCCACCTGGGCACCACCAAAACCCCCTGGGCAGGTCCTTAATCCTTGTCCTGCCCACATGAACAGGTATGTGATGGGGGATCCAGCTTGACATGCCAAAACCCCCAGGGCAGCTTCATTAATCCTTCCCCTGCCCACATGAACAGGTATGTGATGGGGGATCCACCTTGGCACCACCAAAACCCCCAGGGCAGCCTCATTAATCCTTCCCCTGCCCACATGAACAGGTATGTGATGGGGGATCCACCTTAGTGCCAGCAAACCCCATGGGCAGCTTCATTAATCCATTTCCTGTGCCCATTGTGGGGTATAGCCCTGCCCACATGAACAGGTACATGATGGGGGATCCAGCTTAGTGCCAGCAAACCCCATGGGCAGCTTTATTAATCCCTGTCCTGCCCACATGAACAGGTATGTGACAGGGTGACCCACCTGGGCACCAGCAAATCCCCTGGGCAGCCTCATTAATCCCTGTCCTGCCCATATGAACAGGTATGTGATGGGGGATCCACCCTGGCACCACCAAAACCACCTTGACACCACCAAAACTCCTTAATCCTTCTTCTGTGCCCTCCAGGGGTACGGCCCTGCCCACATGAACAGGTATGTGATGGGTTAGTACCCACCTGGGCACCACCAAAACTGCCTGGGCAGCCTCATTAATCCCTGTCCTGCCCACATGAACAGGTATGTGATGGGGGATCCACCTTGGTGCCAGCAAACCCTATGGGCAGCTTTATTAATCCTTCCCCTGCCCACATGAACAGGTATGTGATGGGAAGATCCCTGTGCCCACCTGGGTACCAGCAAACCCCCCCTGGGCAGCCTCATTAATCCCTGCTCTGCCCACATGAACAGGTATGTGATGGGGGATCCACCTTGGCACCTCCAAAACTCCCTGGGCAGGTCCTTAATCCCTGTCCTGCCCACATGAACAGGTATGTGATGGGGGATCCA